GTATTCTCAGACATACTGGTTACCGTTTAGAAGCGGTTGTCTTAAGAAGGTGTTCGCCTAGAAACGGTTTTATTGTACTAGTACATTAATCCATCTAAATAATATTATATATACAATATATTAAATAATTTGTATAATAAATAGTTTACATTCCAGAAATTAATACTGTACATTAATAATTCAATTACTTCTCTAAAAGTGAAGTTATTTAGATGAAGTACTTTTCCGTAAAATTCATGAGAACTAAAGTCACTCAATAAACATTAAAAAAATTATACAGTGTCATTAGATTATTTCAAAGCAAGAGTATATGAAAAATAAGCAATGCCCTCGCCGGGCTCGAACCACGGACCTCTCGAACTCGCGGCGAGTGTGCTGACCACTACACCACGAAGGCATTTTAAAAAGGGCAAGAGAAATACTTTATAATATTATGAAACACTGCAAAAGAATGTGAAATTTTCAAATTTAAGAGATTAAATGGTTAGCTTTCCTTGTCAAGGAGTGCAGTTTTTTATTTTCTTTGCTTAGTATTCGCATAACAAATTTACACTTAACAACAACAACAACAACAACAACAAAAAAAAAAAAATTCTTAAAACAGTTCCGACAGATTTTTTTAACAGTTCTTAAAATTTCTACTCGTATGCATGGATTTCTATATAAGATGACGTTTATCTAGCTGATATATGCCAATGTAGTTCACTGCAAACGATATTCGAGAGGTCCGTGGTTCGAGCCCGGCGAGGGCATTGCTTATTTTTCATATACTCTTGCTTTGAAATAATCTAATGACACTGTATAATTTTTTTAATGTTTATTGAGTGACTTTAGTTCTCATGAATTTTACGGAAAAGTACTTCATCTAAATAACTTCACTTTTAGAGAAGTAATTGAATTATTAATGTACAGTATTAATTTCTGGAATGTAAACTATTTATTAAGCGATTAAGCGTGCTTAATTTATTGCGTCGAACCCAAAGACCTCCTTAGCTGTTGCCTTTTAAAGTACAGTGCAAACGAATTTTCCCTCCTTACTTAGGAGAAATCGCAGGATACGATTGTCCACACAGAATTACGACGCACTCTTTCAATGAATAACATCAGCCACAAATCTGCAGATGGTTAATAACAGGAAAATGACGCATGAAAATGAAAACAACCGCTTACATATGCTAAAACGCAATGAGCACTTGCATGTTGTTTGAATAATACTGCAATGAATCACACCACAGAGAAAGGATACCGTTACGGATTTTAATTGCCATTCTTAAACAAGTCATGAATTTCAACTTGGGTGAATGTACACTGTAAAACCGAGAGCTTCCTTTAATATGGTATGACTTTGGTTTCCGTATTTAAGAAAGCGTGCAGTATGTGTTCGTATTTATCCGAGTATTTAATCGCATTGATGTTCGTAGCAAGTTTATCTTCCAGCGTTTCAGATATTCCAATGGACTAAATAAGCAACAACAACGAAACAGCATCGGAAACAAACAACGAAAATTACACCAAGAAGCATCAATGCGACCATCCCATGACCCACAACGAAACTTTACAGAAACTTAAATGATAATCACTTCCTAAAAAACATATTCTGATGTGAATATACTTTCTCAAATTGTAATAGCAGTACTTACGCAATCAGTAAAATCAGAATGATAAATCATTGTGATATTTCTTACTAAATAATGGAAATGATAATTTTTATTTAATACTCGTTTAAGAAAGCATCGGTTTAATCATTTATTTTCTAATTAAAAGAACTAGATGCATTTTTATCAGAAAAAGACTCGAATGAAAATCAAGAACAAAATTAGGGAAAATTCCAACCCTCGTAGTTTTATATGGAAACTGTGGACTTCTAGAAGTCAGGCAACGTGTGTTCCTCTTCTCTAAGGAGCAGAAATATTCATTTTTTTAAAAATAATTTTTCTGTATTTTGAAAAAGAGGGATTTTTGTTGCCTGATTATACCTTGAAGTCTATAAGAATTTTTTTTTTTTTTTAAATAAACCAACGTCTACCTGTAAGGCTGAATTTTCTCCCTTGTATCTTATTATGTTACAAGTTAAGTAAACTTCAGACTCAGATTTGCCTAAGTTATATAAAAAAAAAAAATAATTGCGGAAACAAAAACTCCGGGTACTAAGTTTTTTGGGAAACAAAATTATTTTGATTAAAGGTTTAGCCGAAATTTCATCTTTCTCTTAGGTAAGTGGCCACATTAAATGTGGCTTCTCGTATAATCGTTAAATCCAGAAATAGTAGTTCTCAGAGTCACTGTTTTTTCAGTTATTAAGGTCATCCGAAGTGTTATTATGTACAGACTAAGCTCAAGATTATTAGTCAAGACTTTTACTCAAGAATGACTCTCTATCAAGAATTTCCACGAACTTTTCATTCAAGTCATCCTAATTATTCAAATACTATTTCTCATCAACTTTTATTCAATTACTGCTCTTCATTCTCCATAATGAAAAACTATACTCTTATTCTTTACTCTTTACAAATCTTACATTCTCAGTCCCTACTATTCTTATACATTATGTTGTTCATTTTCAAAATTTGTAATGATCTTCTTAAGTATTTACTTAGGAATTTATGTTTCATTTACTTACATATTTATTTAAGTATTATGTATTTATATTTTAATTTTTTAAATTTTTATTATATAATTCTCAAAATTCTAATACTTTATTGACTTCATATATAAAAACGTATTTATCTTATTCTAAATTTTTAAACTTTTATTTATTATATCTATTTATGTTTATTATCTATTGTATTATTTATATATTTATTTCTTGATATTTAATTTTTATTATGTAATTATCAAAATTCTAAAATTTTATTGTATTTTATATAACAACACAGTTGGTAGATGATTCCGTCAGTTGAGCGTAAAAGCTGAATGTCTTAAAGGTTGCGCAGCTGCTCATCTGATGGTAAATAAATAAATAAAAATATGTACTGACTAAACTAAGTGTCTTTAGGTACATCTTTTCCATTTTACAGAGAAGAATTTTAAAACTAAGCCTTTCTCTATATTTCGATATCTTCAGTCTTCATCGATGAATTTTTAGCAAGTAAATCATCACAAGCTTCTAAATCTGACTGTCAAAGTATTAAACAAAACAATGCTTTAAATACATGTAAAAAATCAGTTACTAACTTTTCTTGCATGCTTTATTATTTATGTATTATTATTATTTTTAAGACAGTTGAATATCAAGTTGCAATTATTTTATGTCTCAACTATGTACATCAATTACGAAGCATTTTAAAATGACTTTTAACTTTTTTCGCATTAAAAATAATTTGCTAATCAAATGCTAATGCTGTATACAAAATCACAGCTGCCAGTATAAGAAATTTAAAAATGCCAACTATTCAAACCCTACTTAATAGGAAAAAAGTGAATCATGCAAAAGAGTGGATACTACGAAAAGGTCACAAAGAAGATCACCCTCTCTCTCTGTCATTCTTTTCCTTCCGACTTTAAAAAATAGGGGGGTTAAAAAAGCTATCACTCTAATATAATGAGTAATGGCAATGGGAAGTATATTTGAATTTTTTTCCCTTTTTCTCTTGAAGATAATTTTCATTTATATACGTTTATGACAAATTCTAATTTTAGTCGCATCTGTACGTTAGCTTTCGCGATAAACCCTAACAAATAGCTGACAGTTATGCTTTTCGATATTATTAGTTATTAAATTAATTCATGGTGTAAATTAATTCATTGTATAAAAGTCATATTAAGAAATGGATGCGATCAAAACGAAGGTTAAATAAAAATGAAGATTACCAAAACGATCTCAAATAATCTCATCAACCAGTTAAAGACTTTATTATTCGGTCATACACGGAACTGAATAATGATAGGATAGCTAGGAATCTCGGATAAAACAGAACCACCCAATATTGGTAATTAATACAAGTTCGGTAAACAAATAATGTTTTACAAACTTCGACGCAAATACGCAATATTAGAAAAGACATTGTCAGTTTCCCTCAGAAAATCCTCCACGGTGATTTTAAGGTAGACATCGCGTTATTTTGCTTTATTCAAACAGAGCTTTAAATTAAAATCCATTCATAAAGTAGTTGATAGGAAGATACACATACGATAAAACTCTAATCCGATGGCATAGCCACACTTACTTAAACAGAAAAAGACATAGCTATTGCATGATGAGAGGTGCTGTTCATACCAACATTTATTTATAGTCTCAGAAAACATAGAGATAGTGGTATTAGAGATGTAGTCTCCAAGTAAGGATACACCGTATATTAAGATTGAATATTAATGAACATATGTAATGTTTAACAGGTTTGTGAAAAAGCTAGTTAAAATATCGCTGTCAAAGTTACTGTCTAGGTATTGAAACCCATTTGGAAAAAATACAAAGAACGTTATCTCGAAAGAAACGAATTATTATTATAATTATGACTCGACATAATAATTTTTTTTATAACACAAAAAAAGTTTTTATGGTACGAAGTCTAAAATAGAAGGCCGGATAACCAAAGTTGAGATAAAAGTTTTTTAAATTATACAAAATTCAGTGTCACTTTGGCGACAATCCATTCCCTATTACTTCTTATTCCATTAGTAATTCTATTCCATTAGTATTCTTTCTATTCCATTTGTATTCTTCTATTCCATTAGTAAAATTCAGGGCTTACTGACTCTGTGCCACATCATTATTTTAAAAGAAATTTATAACATCTACTGACTGCACGATTAATATACATCAGTCAGAGGTATAAAGTTTTGAAATCCTGCGTTAAGATACAAACATCTTGCATAATGATATAATATATTTAAAAACCTTTCTGTAACTATTATCATTCTTTTAAAAGTTCTCTTTTTAATACGCTAAAAATCATCAAAATATTGTTTCAGTCAAAAAATTTAGCTTCCTAGAAAAAAGATGCTAACATTTTTCAAAATCTATAAACTTTAGTAAATTTAATAGACTGAAGTAAACTTACCATCTTCAGAAGAGGTGAAAATACATGCTGTCAGATTAAAAGTTTCGATTGCCCTTAAATATTCAGGGTATGAATAGTTGGATGTCTGGTATCCAAAGTTTGAAGGACTATAAGCATTGGGTACATCACAGAGATGATTAACGTAATTTTCATTAGAGTTCAAAGGTGTCTGAGCAGAGTACATTAGGTCGTAGCTCTTCGAACCTTTGCTGCAAACAGATGCATCTATCACATTTAAAAATTCTGTGGTCATTGTTCGCTCATATTTTAGTTGGCTACTCATAATAATGTCAATTTCTGAAAGTTTTCTTCACTATCACATTTTACTTCGCTTATCTATATTTTCCTGTTCTACTTACTGTGACTGCAAGAGATTTCGCTACTGTTATTTATTTAAAAGGCGCCCAAGAATCGTCGGTAACTATTTGGTTATATCAGAATGCCACTGTTAATTAAGATGGACGACTGGCCGTGCGGCGGAAGGAACTAACAGCTAGCCAACTCGCTCTTTAAAAGTTTACGTTTAGATCTATAGTGGCGTAAGTCAGTTTTGTTTCTTCAAAAACGCCGGTGATCCGCGATTGGCGGGTGGTGACAAAAAAAGGTGCGGTCTTTCTGTCTCCTTATTGGCGTTCGCGTTTATGATTGTTTGGTTTCATCGCGTAAATATCCCGGTAATTTTGAACATTTAATAAGTTATTTATGTCCACGTGTTAAAGAACACAGTTTACTTTTGTTTGTTTCTAAAGTTTATATTTCTAAAAATAATTTCTAAATAATTTTTTTTTTAAGTCAACCATTAAAAACAATAGAATAAATTTTAAAAAAAGTAAAATTTGAAAGCTTTCAGATTTTTATATTACGGGCGTTTTTTTAAAGTTTTGTGAGTCACCTTTACTCATTAAATACCATGTTCTTCTCACTTAAACCAAAAAATTAAATTCAACAGCAATATCACAAAATATTTAAAACAGCATATCTTTAGAATTTCCAATCCACATTCTCGCATGCTGCAGGTACTATTTTTTTTCATACAATGTTGCCATTACTCGCTTTGAAATTGTTGAGTTTGTTAATCAAAAATTCTTGAAAAACAAATTCCAAATTTGGGCTTCCAGATGCCCATATTTGAATGGAGGACTATGTTAGTCAAAATTTGGTGTTTCTAGGTAGCGTTGTTTTTTCGCAGTGCGAGAACCATACATACATTCATGCTGATTCTTCATTATTTAATTTCTTTAAATACAATGCAGACTCTAATATTTGGTGGCAACGATTTGAAAAGTGAGCCGACATTTATAGTGAAACGACATAAAATGCCAAAACGAAATTAATAGATCTTCTGGGCAATTTGCTCCTTTGGGTTTAAAAAAAAATATAGTTTATACTAGTACCAATGTTAAGGAACATAAAAGAACTTTTAGCTCCAAATTTAAATAATTGTTGCGAAAACCAGAGAATTAACTCTACAAATTTTATGTTGTAAACATCAATAATTTTTCTCTCTTTTAACACTTTATCTATGATTGCTGATTAATTTGAATTATAATTCCGGTTCGAACGACATGTATTTTTAATATCCTTTCTCAGGGGAATAGACTGGTTGGTTTGGTTTATTTGATTATGGCAAAGCACTCGAGGGTTGTCTGCCTAAGAGATAGATGTCTTCATGGGGGGGGATTTCTACGGGAAACTGGCTGGTATAACGTTACGCAAGGAGGGAAAACACGAAAATGCTCTTGTAGCCAGCGCGTTCGCTAGGATTCGAACCCCGGATCGAAACCCCAGTATTCAGCGACTTCACCGCTCGGCCGCTGATAGGCAGTTTCATGTTAAATGAGTGCAATTCTCCTCTCTTGAAGAGAAATAATAAAATTAGGTATAAAATGATATTTACTTCGGTTTTCATTTCTGTCAGATCGTGTTAGATGAACTTGCGCTCTGCAAGCATACAAAATGAGTTTGCACAATTTAATAACATGCATATACGTTCCTTGCGAACATTTTTTTTTTTATTATTTATTCTTCTCCAAAAGAACACCAGTTGTTAAACTAGCTTTTATATTTTCTGCTTAAAATGGAGAGTTAGAGGAGAAGGAACGTTTAACAAAGTTTAATTTCTGATACATGAGAAACATTCACTTGTCAGAAATAACTTTATTGAAGTGAATGTATTACTCAAATTTTCTAACAAAATATATTATGCTTCGATCAAATGGATGGCATTTTGCACTGTTTCAATACTTAATGCCCTGTAGAAGCATTTAGCTCATGTACCATTATCGAGCCAGTGTAAAAAAGGGTTTTCATCACTGTCTCTATCGTTTTAAAATTCTTTTTAGAAATAATATGTATTAATTTTAGCAACATAAGAATAAACTACTTCATTAATTATGTTATAAAAAAATCAGATCTATAATCTGCGACGTGAAGTTAATAAATAAAGTTCAGTATTAAGTTAAACTGTCGTTTATGTCTTGCCAGCTCAGCATACCATTGTTCGAACGTCTGAATGAAGTCTTCGCATGAATGAATTCGAAGGACAAGAGTATCGCATATGTATCGTTCAGGTTTCTTTGTCTTTACAAAAGGGTGCGCGTAATACGGCGAATATAACATGCAGTTTGAAATTATAAGTTCCCGTTATACGCCGGAATATATACGGTAAGGAAATATGCATTTTTTATCTTAAAATGAAAGTTCATTTTAATATGATTTTAAATACTAGACAATGCCTAAGAGGCGGATATGTTTTTTCGAAAGACATCTGAAAGGAAGACTCAATTTCTTTTATTCGAGCCGATTATCTAAGCTGACTGGTTCCCGAGATCAAATCTGCTTACGTTGCTAGCTTATGCAAAAAAACAAAAGAGAATGAATGATGCACGCAAAACCATCCCAGAATCGATGCATTTCTGAAGATACTTGTTGTTTTCTCCTCCAAGCACATCAGAGAGATAGTTATTGTTTTTCGTAAGCTGATTTCATGTCCTGGCAAAATAAAGCATTGCCGCTTGAGAAAACTATTTGTTGCAAACCTCGTGCGCAAGCGATCCAGTGAAATAATTATATAGCTACGTTTTGATTATTTTTTTTATTATATAGGTAGTACACAAGTCTACACGTGGAATTACAATGAAATAATACCACAGCATTTTTCCCCTGTTATTTGGCTTTGTGACAACAGCTCACTGAAGATATTACATTTTGTATTATATATCTTTATTTTTTGGGAGACCAAATTAAACTACACAATAGATCTATCAGAATTGCTTAACGTAAAACTGTTTTGGGTGGTAAACTGAAATATGCATACCAAGAGCCGACTACAGTGTCCTTCAGTCTTGTTATTGCCCACCAGCGGCCGAGCGGTAAAGTCGCTGAGGATTGGTAGTTCGGTCCGAATCACACGAACGGGCTGCATATTTCGTAAGTACACGCCTATATCTCCTTCGAGGAAGTGGCTTCTAGAGTGGACCAATAAGTTCCCAGTGTTATTTCTGACATTTCAAATGACCTTTCCACGCTTTAAGCAAGACGGTTGAAAACGTTTTTCCACGAAATTTCCTGCGCAAAATAGTTAAAGCATCGTGGATTTCTTTTGTGAATTTTCAGCGCGAAGTTAGATCAAATATAAGCATAATTTTACCATATGTAAATAGTAGTCTTACTTTTTTTTTCCAGTCTATATGAAAAAGGCGTTCTGTAATACAAGCCAATTCACAGTTTTATTTAATGTAAGCTTTCCTAAGTTAAAATTTTTCCTAAGTCCCTTAGAAAGTCATCCCTTCCCTTAGGCAAATAGCTCTCGAGGCTTTGCCATAATCACATACACCAATACCAATCTTACTATTTCATATTTTTCAAATACAATTTTTTTGACATTTTAATAGTAAATTCTTCAGGGTGGTAGATGGAAATCTATAATCCTCTTAATAAAAGCAGAAATTTAAAACTGTACTTCCAACTGTTTTTAAAACGGATATATAAATGCATGCAGTTGCATAATTCAATGGACGTACTCTTGCGTACGCCTTTATATTTACATTTTTATTTTAAAAGGAGCAGAAGTTTAAACTTGTGCCTGTAAGTATGTGGATATATTTCTGCATATTCTTGTCCCTTCCTCTCTCTCTCTCTCTCTTTTGTTTTAAAAAACTAAAGCAGAAATTTAAAGCCACATGTTTAATTTCATGGATGCACTTACTTTTGTTTATTATTGTCGCTGTACTCAGTTTTATTTTTTAATTTTATGGATTTATTTTTCAAAAAAAAAAAGGGGGGGTAAGTTTTGTCCTTCTATGCAGAATTTGTTACTATTACTATTATTTTAATTGTTATGCTTATTTTGATTATTTCAGGTGCTGTCTTTTCATAAAAATATATTCAGTTACAGGCCGCAGGCCGTTTAAAAAAAAAAAAGAGAGAGAGAGAGAGAGAGAGAAAGAGATCGCATAGAAAAGCTTTTTTTTTTTTTTTTTTTTTTTTTTTTTACTCTCCAACGGGGCTTTGTCCCTGTAGGACTATTATTGTTTTCGTTTTGGAATTTTGCGTTGAAATCTTTAAAAAGGCTGTATCACTCTTCAAACTGTTGCCACCAAATATTATCGCCCTGTATTACATTTAAAGAAATTAAATAATGAAGAATCTGCATAAATGTATGTATGCTTCTCGCATTGTGATAAAACAACGGTACCTAGAGCCATCCAATTTTGAATGACGTAATCCTACTGCGAATATGGGCATCTGAAAGCCCAAATTTGAAATTTGGAATTTGTTTTATTATCGATTTCATATTTTGTAAACCTTTAACAAATTTCTGATCAACAAACTCAAGGATTTCAAAGCGAGTAATAGCAGCGTCGTACAGAAAAACATTTTTATCTCCAGCGCGTGAGACTGTGTATCGGAAATTCTAAAGGTATGCTCAATTTAAAATTATTTCGCGATATTGGTCTTGAACTGAATATTATGGTTTAAGTGTGAAGTAATGATATTTAATAAATAAAGGTAGCACACAAAATGTTAAAAAACGCCCCCCCCCTTTGGACGTAATTTAAAATCTGAAACCCTCAGATTTTCTTTTAATAATTTTGTTTCCTTTTGAGAAACCTGTTTAAGGTCAACCCTTAAACCGGTTTCTCGAAAGCCTTAAACCGGTTTCTCGACACAAAATAAGTGTAAGATATTTTTTTGTTGTTAAAATGTTAAAATGCAGAACTACACGTACAGTGGTGCTTCTATACAGCTTAAAAAAAAAATACGATTCTTTACTCTTGGTCCAGCATCTAAGATTCTATTAAAAGTTCAGTAACATCGTTGGCCCCGATTCACCAAATTTTTTAAAATCCTAAATCTAAAGTCCTAAAATAATGGGAGTCTTTATGTAAGCTGATTTTACTTATTTAAG